GTGGTTACTCCTGGAATTAACTGATGCATTATAGTTAGAAAGTTAGTTAGTTAATGGGCCTTTTTATATTACATATGTACGTCAATATCGTTTACGTGATAAATTAATATTGTCTCAGATATTAAAAAATATCGTATACTGTAAAGACGTGACGTCTAAAACAGGACGACGAAACAGTCAACTGAAATATCAGGGGCCGGTTGTATAAAAAAGTGATTAAAGTTAACTATAGTTAGTGGAAACGTCATCCAATAAGAAGCGCGTATTTGAGAGTTAATCACTATTTAACTACAAAATAGTGATTAAAAAAGTGATTAAGAGTTTTATACAACCGGCCCCAGCTGAATAAAATTCGTTTTCGCTCAGTCGAGTCAGCTCTTTGTTGTTTAACGCCGTTAATTGTTACGCCGACTCGTCTTTATACTAGACGACTTTAGCGTCTGGGACATCACGTGTCTGTAAGAGGTCGTCCAGGCACAAGCCCAGGGATGGACGGGAGGGGTGGGGAATGGAGGGAGTGCTCTGCCAGCTCTGGTGCCGAGTTGTATCGGTCATGTGTGCCGTCTAATGTACTCAGGTGAATAAGATGCTTGTGATGTTATTCTGAGTGTATATCCACACCGGGCAAGCTTGAAAAATATGCCTGACCACGGTGGGAATCGAACCTACGACCTTTGGAATGCTAGCCCAATGCTCTGCCAACTGAGCTACGTGGTCTGGTCGGTTCGAGTATGTGATACTTTGGAACAGAATCTAGTTCCTTCGATATCAATGTAATCTAGTAATAATGATATTTGCTGTGTTGGTGCAATGTACTCAGATGAATAAGATGATTGTGATGTTACTCTGAGTGTATATCCACACCGGGCAGGCTTTAAAAATATGCCTGGCCACGGTGGGAATCGAACCTACGAACTAGTATTCGGTATTCCAAAGGTCGTAGGTTTGATTTCCAACGTGGCCAGGCATATTTTTCAAGCCTGTCTGGTGTGGATATACAC